TTTTTCAGTGGTGGGAATCTAGCACGCTTCACAGAATCACAGAACGGTTGAGGTTGGAAGGAACCTCTGGAGATCATCCAGTCCAACCCCCCTGCTCAACCAGGATCACCTACAGCACATTGCCCAGGATCGCGTCCAGGCGGGTTTTGAACGTCTCTAGCGAAGGAGACTCCACAGCCTCTCTGGGCAACCTGCTCCCAGGGCTCCGTCACCCTCACAGGAAAGAAGTTTTCCCTCATGTTCAGACAGAACTTCCTGTGTTTCCGTTTGTGCCTGTTGCCTCTTGTCCTGTCGCTGGGCACCTCGGAGAAGAGTCTGGCCCCATCCTCTCGACACCCTCCCTTCATCTGAGGGATGTATCTACTTGTACACATTGATGAGATTGCCTCTCAGTCTTCTCTTCTCCGGGCTGAACAGGCCCAGCTCTCTCAGCCTTTCTTCATAGGAGAGATGCTCCAGTCCCCTCATCATCTTCCTAGCCCTCCGCTGGACTCTCTCCAGCAGTGCCATGTCTCTCTTGTAGTGGGGAGCCCAGGACTGGACCCAGTACTCCAGGGGAGGCCTCCCCAGGGCTGAGGAGAGGGGCAGGATCACCTCCCTCCACCTGCTGGCAACACTCTGCCTAATGCAGCCCAGGACACCATTGGCCTTCTTGGCCACAAGGCCGCATTGCTGGCTCATGCTTAACTTGTTGTCCACCAGGGCTCCCAGGTTCTTTTCTGCAGAGCTGCTTTCCAGCAGGTCAACCCCCAGCCTGTACTGGAGCATGGTGGTTCGAATTAATTAAGAAGGATTTAAAAAAAAAAAGATGGAGGAAAAAAAAGGTTCATTGTTAAGGAGAAATACATCTGGATTCCAGTTAATTTTACTCCTTTATGAGGGATTGAAAATGAGATCTCTGGTTGTGAGGTTGTATTAGCAATGTCAGTTTCATTTACAGTGTATTCAATTAAAAGAGTGCTTGATTTGGTAACTTCTGTTCACTGTGTAATCAGTGGATCCTCTGCCTCTTTCTCTGCAGGAGACTGACCACAGCCCAACCTGGTAGCAAGGTTCACAGTCTCTGTCCCAGCTGCACAGTATAGGTGCAGAATTAATTATATGCTTTCCTGACTGTGTTTGTGAAGTATGTGTGTGCTAAAGTGATAATGTGTAATTCATAATAGGGTATATGAACCAGTATTCTCTCTTGCCTCGGGTTTTTGCAGTCACGTAGTCTTGTGTTGTAATAATGATTAGTATAATCCTTGTTTTTCTTAACAGGGAAGGAAGACACTCCATCACTGCTTGGTCTCTGTGGTTCTCTTACTTCAGTAGCAAGCTACAAATCTCTCACAAGTCTGAAATCAAGTGAATACCTTGCAAGTCCCACAACAGAGATGACAAGTCCAGGCTTAACACCGTCTTGAGTAGATATACACAACGAGGAAGAGCTTTTGTGTTGTATGCATTTGGTTTACGTTCTGTAACATGACCTGCAATGAAGACTACTAATTCTAAGTCAAAAATATGCTGCTTTTTCTTTCTTTGCACTTACCTGTTTAATTCACAAATTCTATCAGTTTTCATTCAAACTTTCTTTTCCAGAGGACTTTTTCAGAATTTCTATTTAGTCTTATTTAAAAAAAATATTTAAAATTCAGTCAAGTACAGGACATACTTATAATTTGATGCTACAACTGATTTTTAAAATGAAACAGTTGGAAATCAGTCCCCTACTTAACTGCCACAACCTTTCTTCTTCCCTATAACAGCTAACAGGCTGGCCATACCCTAACCATGGTGCTTCTTTGCAGTGCTTTAAATATCTATCAATCAACTCTTGCAGAAGAGACAGGGAATCCTTAACTTCAGTCTTTGTAGGCAAATAAATATTTTACTTAGAAATCCATCTTTACATCTGCGTATGTTACATAGGATCTCAAACAGCATATTTAACCTATCAATAGATCTTCTCAAGTTGACTGAATGTTAAATTTGCATTCCAGTTACATCATGGCACTTATGAGATGTATGAATCGCACTGAGAAACCACACTGAAACATCTCTTCCTAATTCTTGAAGTTGCATGAGAATAACAAATGCAATCTGATCATCTCAGTCAGACATACTTAGCGATTTATAAATGGTGAAGCAGCTCACTAAATGCCTTTGTGAGACCTGAGTTAAGGATAATACAGAATTATATGAGAATGTCTTGGTTTATTGGCACTGTCTTGCCTTGCTGGAAAGATGGGGACTAAGGATAGTGGGGCTAGCACCTTGGGAAGTTGGACTGTGTGTTTATTAGAAACATCCCAAGGAGAGTGAAAAAGGGGAAGCAATGAAAATGTAAAGACAGTATTCTCATGTTAAAGAGTTTTCTCATTCCTGTAGTAGTGCAATAGGTATTTTTCTTGATTAGATAATACACTAGAACTTAATTAAAACTGTTTTCTCAAATGATTTGCCGTTGATTTAAATTACCGATTGATAGAAATTACGTGAGACATTTTTTAAAATAAAACAAACTTTACAGATTACCCTACAGTTTCAAAGTTTGCAAATTAATTTTTGAATTGCAAACTATATTCTTAATTCTTTGTAAGATATAACGAATCCTTTATCTATGAATTTTGCTAATCAAGGTAATGCATATCAGTGCGATTGGTAACTTTTTAAACAAAACTTAAGCGCATGTAAGTATGTTGTATTTATAAGTGCTAGGGAAAATGCTTTTTTGTGCCAAAGAAGTTTCATAAATTGTTTACACAAGTAGCTGCAATACAACGAGATTTTTAATTATTGCTTACTTTTAGATGTTTACAGTACGTCACTACCCTCTGTACTGTTTTAGTTTCTTTGCCTCTTGTAATGGTACCCTTGGCACTACTACTATAGTCTGGTCATTTAGGGTGGGGTTGAAAGGAGGAGAATCCATTCTCACCTTTACTTTTGACAACAGGAATGTTCAGTCTTCATAAGTATGAGGCCACGCTTCTCTTGAAGGCAAGGCACTGATGGATTTAGCTGCAGGAGGTTCAATATAGTTCTCAACTCTCTAGTCCGGAGTGCTAAAAGTTACTGCACCCATGGCAGAGTAAACAACTGTTGATGCCATTTTAATGCCGTATTTTAAAGCAGCACAGCAAAATCCACCAGACCTTGTCTTTCAAGGCCTCGTGTACCCACCCAACTGAATTAATTTGTGTAATAAATTCTGAACATTAAATCCTTTCATTCACTGTCAGAATGTCTATTACTTCATGTAACATCTTTTTTCTGGTTATTGCATCAAGTACCTGTTCTCTCATGGCAGTTCAGCAGCATTGTTAAATACTAATTTGTAAACTGGACATGCATTTTTACTACAAATACAATGAGGGAATCAGGATTCCAGAAGTTAACATTCCACATCAAGGTAGAGTAATTTAATCACTCTTGTTTGCTGTTAAACGCTTCTCCCACTACGTCTATATTTTGGAGGGGGGTATAATCATGATTTTCAGTAATGTTAGCTGATGGCTCTTTTCTTGGAGCTACTGATGTGCAATTCATGTGTCATTTAACTTAAGTCTTTTGTGTAGTCTGAAACCACAATGAGTTTGTAAGTGTCATTTGCGCATGAGAAAGCGGTTGTGTGTCTTTCTCAGTTCTAAACATTCATTTTTCAAAAAACTTGAAAAAATGCCAAAATTGTATGTTTTGCTGCCTTGATGTCCCATAAACGTTGCATGTAAATTAAACATTTTGTATCATCACAGTTTAATAGTTGTTGTCTCTGTTTTAATCGATCAGACAATAGAAAGTAAGACCACTTGGAAAATGAAAGTATTGGTGAGTTTACAGCAGATTCTTTTCTTGCAAAACAGGGAGACTTTTTTTAATCGCTGGATGTCATTCAGCATGGTCCAAAATTTACTGTGTTACTGCTTTCTTCCTCTTATACTAGGGACTCAAAATAAGTCCTAAAATTACTTTGAAAATCACAATAGGAGACCAATTTCAAATATTTCCTATGGCCATACCTCTCTTGTCTGTTACGCATGCTGTGAACATTGTACTTCCTGTCTTTACAACTAGAGCATTTTCAGCACATGCTGAATTTTCAGGAAGGCAAACGCGCACTGGGAGACCTTGTTCACAGCAGAACAGGACGAGGCCCATTTGTTGGGTACAGCACAGCTAAATGCTGGTGTCTTAATGACCTGACTATTGAGTTGCGATGCAAGTTTCTTGGTTGCTTTAGTACCAGCAAACCTCCTCGTTAAAACATGCAAAACTACTTCGCTGAAAATGCATGAAAGAGAGGATGCAGTGATGGTGGTTAAAAATTTAAAAGAAGTCATTAAGAGGAAGCTCTGCTTCATTCAAAGGGCAAGAGAGATGCTTCAATTGGTTGTACCATGTGTGTGCAACACACGGGAGCAGTAGCCAACGTCTGGGCCTATAGCAGTAAATTAAACGTGCCCTTGCCTTCAGATGTGGCTGAATCAAGCTGGCATGGAAGCACCTGCCAGTAAAACTGAACTTCAGAACCAGGTGACTTCATCCAAACTGCGAATGGGGAACACTTCTTGGCAGGCTCCAAAGCCCGATCCTGCTGTAAGGGTGCAAAGGTGCGCATGGGAGCATGACAACTGCCTATACAACAGTACAGGCCATTGTCCCGTGCCTGTGAATGTTTCCAGGTGAGCTTGCATTTCTTGATACATGCACAGCCTAAGAATACTGCCTTAAGCTACAAAGCTATTGCAGCAACTGTCAGCACAGTCCCCGTGCTCTCTGGGTCTCTCACGAGCACTAAATACTTTTTTCTAGTTTCAGCTAAAACATTTTTCTTCCTCTTTCAGATTTAAATAAACCTAAGAAGAGTCTAACAACTCTTTTACACAAAATATAGAGCTGCAAATAACAAACATACATACAGAGAATTAAGCATTTATTAAGCAAGAATAAATAAGAATTTATTGAATTCACTTTGTATCATCCTCTTTGTAAAGAGGGATAATTAATTCATACAGGGGAAACCTAAAATATTTTCTAAACATTCATTTAAATATCCAACAAAAATCTTCAGTCGGACTGAAAATTAACACATTATTTCTATTTTGAAAAATTTGCATATAGTACTTGAAGGAAAAAAAGCATTCTCCTTTTCATAAATATGAAAGAATATTCTTTATGGATCTCCCAATGAAAACGCAGATTATGCCCATTCATATATACTTCTTTTTAACTTGAGAAATGCTAGTAATTCTTAAATACTGCAGAATTAATCCTGAATTTGACAGAAGGTAACTGAAGGATACAAAATTGTCTTCCCTAAAACACCCCAAACCCCAAACTTCTGTAGCTTTTTTGAGACGCTTCAATTTAGTGGAGTCCAGAAGGAAGACAGATAATATATTCAGTTTATGTGAATGCATGAAAAAGCAACAATTAAAAGCTTTCAGTGTAACTGTGAGAATAGACAGTATTCTCATGGCGAGAAAAATCTGGAGAGACAGGTAAATTTAGAATTACCATTCTACTTCCATCTATATGACAGGTCCCCTACCATTTCATCCATTTTGAACTGACAACCTCATTTGTGAGGAATATTTTTCAAAATGAACTGAAGTATGAGCCTCAGGTGCTACAAAATATAATTATGAAAGCTTTTTATGCGCCTCTTTCTTACTGTTTTGGCTTTAACGTGTGCTGCATGCTTAAACTGAGCTGCATGCAATTGTACATGTAGCAGCTGCATTTCTAAAGCCTTCTCTTGTAAGTTTTCTGGAAATATCAAGGGTCATTTTTAGGGTACTTGATGCCTATTTAATACTATGCTATTTATTTCTACCCTCAATGTCCAGGGATACACTATATTATTTTTAATAATAGCACAGCTGCAAGGACTGTTTGATAGGACATATGTATCTAGGTGCATGATTAAGCATTCATGGAAGACTTGTCCTTATCCATGCTGACATTTTTTTTGAACAGAAGTCCACAAAATATCTTAGATTTACCTATATCTGAAGCAAGTTGGTCAGTATAAGACTGAACTACAACACAGAAATACTCTTACTCTGCACCAGTCTCATTTCCATTTAATGGGTGCACATCCTCTCCCAGGAGCAGTGGCAGTGGTTACTCTTCATTGCTCTGTCCAGTTCAGTTTCCTTTTAACCACCACTGAAGAACAATTAGAGCATCCTCTCCACTCCCCTTTTTTTTTTCTTTCTAGCCACAGAAGCCACAAAATTTTGAACGATGGTTTCAGGGTTATGTGCGTTTTCTTAATCTTAACCCAAGAGCCTTGAATTTATACTTTATGAAATAAATACTTACTTAAGAAAATGAAGACGTATTTAGTTACCAAATGTAATGGCTGCAGTTCACTGGGAATTCTGGCATACGCCTAGACAGAGATAAATTTGGCACAACTTTCATTATATATTTTGACTGCATACAACCAGGTGAAGAAGAATTAAGGGCGCTGGTTCTTTTTTTCATTTAAATGACGAAAGAAAGACTTTCCATGTTCATAGGTGCTGATCATTATGGCACAAGCAGGAGCAACTTTAATCAACCGTGGACCAATACCTGCCCAAAAAGAGAAAGGAAAATATTCACTATCATTTGTTTTCAGACTGTAGCACCATTTAGTGGTTGTAATACACTGATATCACGGTATATCATAGAACTGGGATTCTAGATGTCCACATTCCTGAAAATAACAGAATTACTGCCTACAGCTACTACCAATCTAAGAACCTTATGCCCCGTGCCTATGCCATGCTGTGCAGTCTGCCTGCCTCAAGCCCATGGTGTCTGTCCCGTTTCTCTCCACAGAGCTGGAGCAGTGTGACCTGCATGGCTAGTCAGCCTGCATACCCTCCTCTAAGCAGCAGTTCAAACCTGCTGCCCCTGTGGGACAAGCAGAGGCTCCTGACCTCTCTGATGGGAAGGCGAGAGCTGCAAGAAGCCCTGAATCCTGACATGGGGGAAGGCAGGGAGGAAAGAGCTCAAGTACCATGTCGGGCTGTACCTCCATTTTGGGCACATAATCACAGCCCTTCAAGCTAAGTGCTAATAAAGTAAAAAGACTGATTCCCCTGCTACTGTCTCCCAAGACCTACTTCCCCTTTATTAAAATGGAAGGCTCCTGGTTACAGAATGCAGGTGTTAAGTATCTTCCATCACGATCAACAGTGATGTTGTGAACTGAGTTTAGGAAGTGATTCAGCTTACCCTGAGGTAGGCAAATGGGGGCAGATCCACTCGTGTAACCACAGCCATCTAGTTCCATATGAAATGCAGAGACATCTCCATGGAGCTAGCACAGATGACACATGACCTATGGAAAACTTGTGTCCTTCTGGAAGAGTAGCAGAGGGCCAGGCAGAACACCCCAGGCCATCTCAAATGGCAGCACATACGTACCTGTGGGGAACTGAGCTGAGCTACTGGCTGATCAAGACAATGTCTCAACACTTCATTAGCCACATGTCAAGACCTACAAGTAGGTATCCTAATCTGTGAACTACATTCCAGCCAAAATGTTTAATAAGACTGTAATACTTTGTGCAGTCTTGTATTTTTCTGACATGAACATTCTGAAACATTCATACCCTGTTACCCCTCTATGATATCACTGTGCAGCAAGTAAAGCAATTTAATCTCTTCCTTCAGTGAACGCAAACAAAGTCTTGCAAATCTTTGGCCAGCTGTGTAGCCATTCACACAAGAAGGGCCAATGAACCTACGCAGTGTTGCCAACACTTACAGGTATCCTGGTTTTGGAATGACTCCTGCAGTTGTTCATATAAGTAAGTGTCCACTCCCAAAGGTCTACTTTTATCTGAACATCTTTTAACTTCCTCTTTAGACTGCTAGAGTCACACATGGCAACATGTGTGCGTTACAAAGGACTTCTCTGCATGGCAGCAACACAGCATTGCCCCAGCCACTCAACAGAACAGGAAAACAGCAGCCTCAGCCCTCAGGGAGAATTACTAAAGACAGACGGACTGGGGGATCTCTTCCCTGGCAGGCTGGGAGAAGGGCACTGGGGCCTTTGAATAGCATGAGTACAAGTATCAGAGGATGCAAGAAAGCTTAGGGCAGCTGAGATGAGTGGCCTGAGGTGGACACACAGGAAATAAGGAGCTTTCTGTGACTGTGAGCACATTTTGTATACGTTCAAGATTGAATATGCTACCTCCAGTTGTCACACGTACAAGGGAAGGATTCAAAAGCAAAACATTTTTAAAATAAGTTCAGAGATGACACTGTTTTAGTCTAGTTATACTTCAGCTAATAAATTATTTGGGCTAGAACTAGTTGAGTGTATGTATGCAGCAAAGCAAACATTTCACCCACAGTTAAAAAAAATCTGTGTTTGTTTAATGACAAGAGTTGTTCACAAAAGATATTAACCAGCAATTGGAATTCTTGAGGGCGGGTAATCAGCTTACACACTCACACTGTTAATAGCCATCTGCACTATCATGTGAGGCTGAAGACTTTTATTCTCTCAGTTGCTGTCACATATGGTAATCCCAAACTTGTCTTCATGCATACTCAATGTACAGGTAAACAGAGTGAGACATGCCTAGCACCGCTTGAGTTTCCTCTTAGGAGTAGAATTCCCACTCAGTCACAATACAGGTAAGAGAGAGAAGGTAGATAGTGAGCATCCTTGTGGATTGCAAGTCTTTATTCCGCTAAGTGATAAGCGGCCTATACTTCTCACATAACAGCAGTCTACATGTACACTTGCAAAATGGATCACTCAACACAGTAACCTCCATATTCATATTTACCCCGAGATAAATTTTAGACTAAGCAGTGCGAAGTAAAACTTCTGAGCATTCACCATGAAATCAATTTCTTTCAGTGCTGGAAGAATCTTTAATCATAGATAGGTTGAAGGTCCAAGGAACATCATACCAAGCCACCACCCAGGAAACTATGTTCATTTCATTTGATATGGGTTGAAACGACTGCAAACATCTTGATGTTTGATGTTTAGCAAGACATACTTGATTTTACTTTACTTCTGTAAAATACAGAAATAAGCATACAGAAGATCCAGAGGTACAAACCACCATCTTTCCTGAATGGCTCAGTAGTCACCTATTACTCCTGAGCCCATGGATGAAAGCATTCAGCCTTCTCTCATTCAAATTCGGTACAACCCACCTTTGCTCTATGAAATAACGAAGAATAGAAAGATCTACTATAAAACCTCCCTCCATTCAGAACACCAACACTTCCACTTGCAGCAGACTCTTATAGAAAGAAGAATTAATGTATTGAAAGGTTGAACAGGCACAAATTACATGGTGTAGAGTTCTTTGTATTTCAAGGACTCAAGACATCTGGTGCGATGTTTAGCAAGTTGTAGGGATCTATTCTGATGTAAAAAGAAATTAGGAGAAAGAGAGCATTGCAACTGTCAGAAAAATAACTGGCACTTCCCAATGGCATCTTCAGGACTGCTCACAGAAACATGATAGCTCCGTGGAAGAGACACTACCAACCAGCTGTAGGCTGACACAGTTTAAGAATGGCCAGGTGTGAAGCTCTGCATTGCTACAGACCTGCCATATTGCATATTTTGTGGGACATTTTAGATCATTAGACCAAATGATCTAAAAGTTGTTCAAAAATCTTTAAGAAGTGAAGACTTCATCAATTTTTGAGTTGGTGTTCTTACAGAAAGGCAAATTTTCTACTAAAGATTGAATTCCTCATGTACACTAAGATTTACAGCCAAGAAGCCCTTCTCATTAGGACGGCAATGCTTATTACAGCTCCATCTTGCAGACTGCCCTAACAACTGATTGGGCCCACAATATTTCACCAGAAAGTTCTCATAGGGTACTGAGACATTCAGGTTAGCTGTCAGAGAAGTTCATATTCCTATGATGCAAAAAATATCTGGCTGTTGGAGAGATGAAATTTTTGGGGAGCAGAACATAGCTAGGCTATGAAAATATTTTTGGTTTTAGTCACCAAACTGGCATCTAGAAACACAAGTTGTATTCTACAGCTACTTAGGACACAATGGATGACAGTGCAAGGACTACAGTTTCCTGGAAACCCATTCTTTTCTATTTTGCTAGACAGAATATGCCAAGAAGTAGAAGTCTCTGATGGTAGTCTAACAGGATCTGTGATGGCCTTGTTAGCAAGCTGCTGCCAAATAGTTACTAATCTGTGGAAATTTCTGTATCACTCTCCAAGAAAGTTTTCTGGCTAAATCCAACATGAATGAATTCCTGAAAGGACTGGTGATCATCTCAGAAGAGAACCAATGCTTTTTTGTAACTCTGCAAGTGGAATAAAAAGAAATTCTCAGTTTCAGGACAAGGTAGCAGTGATGAGGGTTGTTTGCTCCAGTGCTGGGATGTCATTTTTCTTGTCTCTTATGTCAGACTTGCCAACTCACAAAGTCTCTATTCTGGCTATGTGGTGGAAAAGACACTCATAGGTTTTGTGAGGCCTCTATGATCACTACTTGATGCCAGGAAGTCCTGCTGCTCTCAGGAAACTGGCCAGCCTCATTGCTGCACGTTTTGGATTAGTACTACAGATTAGGTCATTTGATTAGGTAGGTCTCACTGATTTCAGGTCTTGGAGTGGCCTAGATCTGAAAATATATTCCCAAAGATTTCTTTCCCATTCTATAAATATGCGAGGTTTAAATGACCAAGGTAACTTACGATGGTCAGGAATGCATATGTGCTGGTTAGCAGTAGAAATACTACTGCATGTAGTTCAGGGCTAAAAAGTGATCTTTGATGAAGCTTATCAAAAACACTAAAAGACTATCTTTAAGGCCATCCAAGCAAGAAGAAAAATGAAATACATCAAGGAATTATACAGCTTATATAGGATCCTATCTTACTGAATGCTTCAGAGGTACTGAAATAGCACCAGCTACATACTAAACTGTGTATCCATGTGCTGAACACAGGACACAGGTGGGCAGGAATGCACCCTCAATAGATTCAGTGAGGGTAAGAAGGTCATGTAAGCTGTGTACCCCTGTTGTGCGCGTGTACGTGATGTAAAGTAGAAGTAAAGTTTTAACATTCTTTGACCCATTCAGAAGTTATTAAATTATCAAGATTACATTTCTGTATAACTGTTTCTAAGTAAAAATTCAACATAGATTTTAAATAATATTTCTAGCTTGATCAAAACTTAAAAAACCAGAAACCTGGAGAATAGTGTGCCATGAAACAGGAACTTCTGGAGTGTTATGCAGTACCTAATTATCCCCATGTGGCAAAAAAACAAATGTTAGGATGGCTGCCATATCTTACAGTCTTCCTGAAAAAGCTGCATTCAAGTCCAACATAAAATGACTGCATCACCCTATCCTGGGTCTAGTATTTCATAGAAAAATGACAGTATTTTATTATGTGATTCTACTGTAAGGTATCTACTCCATATTCAGACTTCTTTAGTTCTCAGTAATGCATCTTCTCCAAAGACTAAGAAAGGAGACAGAAAAATACCATGGAAGCTTCAGCTCTGTTTCTGAGACAGAAGGAACCAAAAAAAGTCTAGAGCAGAAACTATTATGAGTTGAAGAACAAAAATTAGGATGGTTATTCCTAAATATTGATGCTGCAATGGTATTGACTGTTTGGAAATTTAAGTTACTGGACTAAAAACTGCATCTAACAAACATTCTCAGTCTAGAAATACCTCCATATTATGAACTGTGGTTTTGGAATCTACAAAACTTACTTTGTGCCAATTCTTTCTGGAAAACCTAAACAGTAGAGTTTAAGAGAGCATCAAGTTCTTTTAATTTGCAAAAACTTTCCAAAATTTAAACTGGACTCCCACCTTATTAGCTGCCAATTAAACAACAACGCTGGACTCTCATATTTGTTATGTCAACCCCTTTATTTTTTTTTTAATAAATTGTGTTCATCTTAGATAGCTGTAGCCTAGTAACTTGTAAGAAATTACCAAAATTCTCCCTATATGTATGCATGTCTGTTGCTGTATATATATATATATACACATATATATATACACACATACATACATACACACACACACACACACACAGGCATATTAGTATCTATAATCACTTGTTGATGATTAAGTAACTCTCCCTCTGAGTTTTTTAGAAGGATATTAAAAGATTTACCAGCAAATAATCCAGCAATTCCATTGTTAGCGACAATTTTCTTCATAACTGCCCATGTTGACGTACAGTTCCTCTGTGGAACTCAACATAGTACAATAAAACAGTGAATTAAGCAATACACAGAATGTCACAGAAAAATATCCTTAAAGGTCAGAGACAGTCACTTCAGATGTAATGATTAAGTCCAATTCATCATATATTAACGTTATCTGTACTATTTATATAGGATATTAAATTCATAGAGTATACAAATTCATATAATCTTCAACTTAAAACAACATGACATGTTAAAAACCCCATAGTAATAATACTTAGAGTAAGATATATGGACACAGATAATATTCCTTACTAGCCATAACTGACATAGTTGGAAAAAATAGACTATCAGATGAGCAGAGCAAGTCCCTCTCGATTTCACATTATACTGGCAGCTAAAAGATCATCATATCTCAGATTTTCAAACAAGAACTTGGCTTTGACAGTAAACTGAATCTAAAAATAAGTGTTGAGAATGGATATAGTAAGAATGAATATAATAATTAAGCTAGAACACTACATTTTATGTCTAAGTTTAAAAAATCAAATTGCCAAAAATGTAATATGAGTTTAAGAAAACATAAGTGCATGATGCAAACCACAGCCCCATGTAGAGCTAATTCATATACCATAAGCAACCTAACTGCAGCAGCATCAAGAAGCAATCTGCACTGCAGACACAAATAACCATTTTAAATAGAGCAACTTTTTCGTGCTATCTCACTCTGCACATGTATTGTAATATGGAAATAACTCAGAATATTTTTTCTAGATGAAACTTAAAACAGTTTCATAGAATATATTCAGCTTGAACATCCTATAGCATCTGGAGGCTGCTAAAGACATTTTGTGGCCACAGAAAAACATTATGTAGATGTAGTCATAGTCAGCGCCAAACTGTAACAGCAAACAAATTTGTAAAGGATTAAACTAATACAAATTCTAAATTTGTATCCATCCATACTGAAATTTTAAATACATTTAACCTAATTAATATCATTCTAGTAAATATATGGGAGTTACTTGTGACTCAAGGCAGTATTTGCAATGAAATTCTTACATTCACTAGCACAATAAAAAAAAATTTAAACACACTACTAATTAAAATCAAAAGCTTTTTCGACTTTTGACTATTCTGCAAAAGCAACATAAACGTCTTTCAACAATTCCAACAGAAAAAAATAATTTGCTTGAGAGAATGAAACCTCATGTCAAAATGTGAGCTGTAAGTTTTCAAAAAACCTTCCTGAACTAGGTCTTGAAATTAGTTTCTAGGAAGATGGATGGTAGTTTGGATACGTAATCTTTTCACTCTTCTATAATCTTAAAGCCATGATCTAACATTTATTGAAGTTAATGGAAGTCTCTTACCGGTCCAGGCCCCAAGTAATGTAAAAAAAGTTTTTATATGCAACTTGCATTGCTATGAAATGCAGTGGTGCTTTACTGAACACAGAATAAAAAAGAAACTTCTTTCCTCTTTCATCCTTCTAAGCTGTTGGAGTAGTCACTACTTCATAATTTATCTCACTAATATGCCCTTAAAAAGTCATTTATTTGAAAACACACAAAAAGAAGATAAAAAATACACAAACTGAGCACAGTGCTTTCCCTCTATAGCCTAAAATTTAGCAAAAGAAAAATATTGCTATGAAATAAAATGCTTGTAAGAGTTGAACTGCTGATATTTTTGTTTTCTAGTAGCACGTGAGAGTGGATGTACAAACATTTTATCATGCTATTTTCATCAGAGCTAAAGTCTCTTTCAGTAACACGCCGTTCACATTAATGTTTTACAAGAAATTAATTTTTTGCCTGTTTAAATTAAATATAATTTACCTACATGTAGAAAAATTTGCAGTGGGTCTGCCTAACTCTAATAGCCCTGAATTTTTTGTGTGTGATTTGTATCATTTTATTAACTTAAATGGTACTGTACACACAGCTTCTCTCTCCTTTACGCCATTAATGGATATATTACAGGCATCCTGAAATATCCTAGATGATGTTAACATTTGGAAAGGAGAAAAGGCCTAGTGATCAGAGTCTGACAAAAACTTCAGAAAAAGAGATGGAGATTCAAAATTCCAACTGAAATTCCATATAACCACACATTTTACTCTTTCCTTTTTCATTGTTGATAAACAGGTAAAACCAGCTTAATTGCACGTAGCAATTGTCAAGATGATCGTTAAATAGTTCTGCAAATTATACCAGGCGCTCTGATTTAAAGAGAATTGTATTTGTTGATCAATAAACATGGTTGGAAGAGAGCTTAAGAGAGCTGTATAACGATCTAATTCCCAGCAACTTACTTTTTAAGGTCTCACTCTCCCAAAGTTCAGTCTGCCTATGTGTTTTCACTACATCAAATGGTAGCGTTATGACAGCTGCAATCTGTTAGGAAAAAAGTATCAATTTTAATGTTAGAGCATCAGCAATTAAATTTTAATTTAAAAATTTAAAATGCATGCAAGTTAAAATTAGATTTGATATTTCAAGCAGCTGATATTATTAAAATCTTGTATTTTAGAACATTGTAGATTATTCAGGTACACCTACTTGGCTTGAACACCAGGCCATGCATCCAAACACATACATCATTTGTGAGAGAATCATGTAAAACCACAGTAATTTCAAATAGTTTAGTAGCGATATTATTAAAGAGTAGTATTAGAAACAAAAATACATACTTACAGAGCCAGATACTGCTCCTGAGGTAAAAGCAACAAAAAATGCTGATTCATCTGTACCAACTTTCTTGCACATCATCTTCTTGAAACGTTCATAATTATACCAATATATTGCTATGGTTATAAAAAAAAATAAACTTGCATAAAGCAACACATTTGTATGTCAATACAGAAATTCACCTAATCTCTTTTATCACATGCAGATGTAAGACCCCTACTGTGGCAACAGAAGCAAAGAGAAACAAGAGCTAAAAGCAGAAATAAGAGCACTCTCTGTGATCCTCCAAGGACAGGCTGGTCTGCTCCCCTTCTCTTCATGCTCTTATTGCAAATTTCTACATACGATACAAATTATCATCAATCATTTCTCTGTTTCTTATAGTAACTCCTACCTTAACACAATCTAATCCCAGCACTACAAAATTAGTTTAATATATTTTTTTAAATGCATTTTAACTTTAATCAAAATGTTAATTTCTAAATATTAGCTGTGTTTTCAGTGTTATTTCACCCTTTCATAAATCTTATTAATTCTACAAAAATGTGTTTCACACAAAATAAAAGCTTACTTAGGTTGCAGTCTTATACTCTTTTGGGACTCCGAATGTAAAACTGAATTCTTAGAGAATCAAGAAATATGATTTTGCCCTCTGGAATTACTAAAGGAGGCATGTCTCTGTGAGGACTGTCAAAAGCAAGTCTGAGTAACAACTTTCAGGAATAACATTTCCTTCTGTTCTCTTCCACTACACTAAACTGCACTCTTTCTGCATTCTAACTGAAACTCTTTAAAGTAGATATTACTGTGCTGAATTTTGGAGTGATTCCTTGTGGAAATTGGTGAAAATAAATACTGCTAATGACAGCTGTATACATGGAAAGATAATTGTGTCTTATTGCAGAACTGAACTCTGTAGGCTGTGACAGCAGAGCAACAGTAAAGCATCTTCTTGTCATGGAGATGCTCAGCTCTTAGGCCTGGCCTCCAAGATTTTGCAAAAGTAAACGAAGGCAGTACCTCAGAAGGCATACTCAGAGTTTGGTGTAAACCTAATATAAATGATCTAAAGCCCAAATTTTGCTTGAGCAGCTGCAGGGCTCCTTCATAACTTTTAAGTTTATATTCTCTGCAACACTGCTTAAAGAATGACTCAAGTACTACTGGTAACCTGATTCTTGTGCTTATAAACATTCATAGCTTAAGTTTTACTCAGTCTAGCTAGCCTTCTAAAGAAAATACTTGAAGCATGTTATTGACACTTGCGCAAGCAACAGTGTGATCCTAACTACTCTGTGCTGCTAACACAGACTTTCTGCACAGCTTGACTGTTTTCACAGAGCAGGTGCTCTCTCAACACGAATTGTTACACTGACTTTAACTCCTCTTGAAAGAGCTAACTTGAGCTAACTGCAGCAAAGGCACAGAATAACAGAAACCATGACGTTGTTGGAGGATCTTTCAGAGTAGAAGCCAAGGACGCATATCTTAACTGCACAGAGAGTATTTATAAGGAGAAAAAACAAAACAAACCCAAAACAGAAAACACATTTTGAAATGGTGTTAAGCAGCTTTAAACAACCTTAGGTTTATAGCATCAGAGTTTTGTGACATTTCACTTCATTGTTTAAAAATAAATGCATTTTCCTTCCCCTCAAGTGTATAATTCCCTCTCCACTTTTGGCTCAACAATAATTCTTAACCTAAAAGGCAATAGGTGCATGTTAATCTGTAGCTCATCTCCTTGCCTCTCCACCTATCCAGCACCCACTACCTCTGTGAAGAACAGGGCACAGTCAAGTGACTGCCAGCTATCGAGCAAATGCCAGAACAGTCTGGAGAATGACTTAAAGTCAGCGGGAAGGTTCTGGACGGAGGGAAGAACTGCAGGCATGGATGCGAGAATCTAAAAAGGACAGAGAAAAAACACACACACGTATCACCTTAGTGCCCTCCTCTTTGTGCACTCCTTTACACTGCTCTGATCCTCCCACTCTGTTAAAAGCAGCAGAGGGAAGAAAGATCACTAGTTCTTGCCATATTGCTACAGACAAAATCAGTAAGAGAGCAAGAGCTTCTTCTTGAAATCAGACAACAGGGATTATAAAGAGAATTTTAGCATCCCCTTCCCAAGCTTAGCAGAATGGCCTAAGAAAAAATTTGGGGCAGCACAAATTTGTAGGATAGTCTGGAGAGCACAAATGATGCCACTTGCTTCAAGGAAGTTCAAGCCTTGTTTTATCAATATAAAAAAGATAAAACGTGACTTGTATCTATAGCATGGAAGGTGATCTTAGCAGATAAGAAGGCTTTTTTTCTTGTCTTGAATCATTCCCAAAATACTTTAGTCTGCCTTAGTCATTTAGTGGAGTAGCAGCTCCTCAGTGTGGTGGTGGAATACACTCCTAACCTCAAAACAGAGATATTCAGGCAGATCCTTTCAGTCTGATGTAGGCCTTTTCGGGAGGTCTAAGATAATCTCAAAAAGATGCTTCTGATTATCTTAGTGGTTACTGATCAGGCTGTGATGCCAAAGCCACAGCTCGTAGCTGTCTGGAACATGGATCCAGAGGGTTTTTGCTCAAATCCTTGCAGATAGTTTTTCTGAAGCCTGGCGTCACAATTCGGGAAAGAAGTCAAATGTGAAAGCCTTTTGTGGATGCACCTCGTCAAAAGGATCAAATAGTAAATCCAGATTTGGAGAACATGGGTTTTTTATCTGATAAAAGAACCAATTTGCTTACAGCCTTTGTCAATATTAAGGCTTTATCATAGGCGTTAGGTAAAATGAGAAAAGATCCTCTCCCTTGATAAGTTATTGATCTACTCTTTTGGACACAATTCTCCCTTGGAGATAATTCAAGTTCTGCCAGATCAAACTAACTAGGTACAGAACAGCAGGATTAACAAGCAAAGGCACTTTAGAGGTAGAAGACTGTGGTAACAGACCAGAAGAGTGAAAAAGTCCTGTGCCTAAACACCATGGGAACCAGATTCCATTGCCAGTAGTGTAAGCTCTTTAGGGAGAATTAGGGTCATGAAATGACAGGGTGAACTGAAGGGTAGAGGCAGTAACACTGTTCTAATTCCACATATGATGGTAATAAGAAGGAACAATGGTGAACAGTCAGCTACATTAAAGAGAGAAAGGAACTCTGCTGAGTTTAAGAACAGCTCAGGAATCTAAACGTGACTATGCAAGCCAGTAAGTCTGAATTGCAGGCACAGTGCATACTCTACTGATGACAAAAAGGCAGCAAAGTTCTGGCACTCATCCGACCTTTCCTTTTTGTGGGCACTCTTTCATGGCACCCAGCATGATCTGGGCAACAAGACGGGGAAAAGAATTCAGGAAAGATCAAGTTATAGAAGAATTCAAATGTTTCATTTTAGCCTTTTGTCTTCCGGATGAGAATAGATCCTTCCTTTGGTTGACAATGAGATGGTATAAATTAAATTAGATGTCACATTCTCTTAAGAACGAGGTAGCAGGATAAAGAGGATAGCAGGTCAAATACTTCAAGGGTTCCCTCCCTCCAAAAATGGGTTTGAAGCATTTTTTGGGGTAAACACAAGGTGCTCAAAGGTGTTACTCTGGTACCATCTAAAGGACAGAAACAGCTTCAAAAACCTCAGTCCTTGGATGATCCACAAGTACTCTGACAATAAGGTGACATGCAATGTCTCAGATACCCCTTTTTTATCGTTTTATCGTTTAACAGGCTTGCGGAGCCTGTTCCCACCACTGGCAGCAAGTGGGAACAGTGTCCTTGACCAATCTCTTCCAGTTACCTCTGTAGATCAGGAGGCAGTTGAACTTAGATAAAAGGACACAGAGCGTGATCTCCTCTGTCCCAGTCATCTCCTCTGTCTTTGGGCTGCTCTGGATCAGAATTTTTTCATTTTCTGGACTTCCAGCTTTGAAGCTGCCGGAACAAGTGGTGCCCTAGATTTTTCTTTTTTGAGGCACTTGCATGAACTAATTGATCTTGCTAACAAAAATTCCTGAAGAGACTACTGTGTCACTCTGTTTGTACGTATTTTGAAGATTAAGCACAAGAACACTTAGATACATGCTGTTCCTCTGTAAGGAAACAGCTGCTAGGCCTGCTAGACAGAAAATTTCCTACCGAAGGAGAGTAGTCTGTGAAACAGTCATTGCATAAGCTAAAGATCAGAAGAAGCAGTGTAAACAGAGAAAGGGAATGTCACAGGGAATGACCAGCTGGGTGTCACAGTTATGGACACCCAGCTGGTGTGCATAAGCACAGCTAAAAAACCTCAGGTCCTTAAAGACTTACAGATAAACACTCAAAGGAGAAAAATAAGTAAATCTCAATCTTTCTTAAAGGTAATCATTAAAAAAAATACATAAAAACAAGGGAAAAGTCCAAAAGAGTTTATGAATAAACAAGTTTTCATACCTAACACAAGCACGCACATGAAATAAACCCTACCTGAGAAAGGTACATCTCTAAGAACAGTAGAACTCCAGCCTCTCCACAGTGAAAGCCATCCATCTTTAGCCACTTCATTATTGATGCACGTGTACAGTTGCTTGTAGGACAACTGGCGAGACTGCATTCTAGTTCTGATCAGCTCCAGGGGACTCACTACCGTAACTGAACCAACTGAAAATGAGAAAAATGTTTGTTTTTTGGTTTGTCTTTTTAAAAAATTCAGTATTTACTGGTAACATTTCCTCAACATTAAAATATGAGTCATGTCTCACCTTACTTTATATATTTGGTTCCTTTCCACTCTCCCACAGTTTTTCCTTAAAAGAATTACCAGTACAAGCTTCCCTTCCAGATAAGAATACCATACGTATTCATAGTACCTATACTTTCTGGGTACACAGGCCAGTTACCTTTTTTCAGTATTAGCATGTTGTACCCCAAGTACCTGTTAGGAACCGTAATTTTCAGATGTATTATATAAAATGGGCTGAAAACTTCAAATACTTCTTTAACTTTCAATAATGATCACTTTTTAAGTGTAAGTAAGTTGAACAAAGTGTGCTAGGTTGTTAATCTCTCTAGGGAGAGATTAAGCTTTTATTGCTATTAAAATACTAGGAATATCCAGTATCTAATAAAAGAAATATACCTGTATCTAATAAAAGAATTCTCTTGCATCTTGGTGGTAAGATCAGTGAGTCACCACACACTAACAAGCTCCCATCATGTAATATTTAACAGACTTTAATGATATCATTAGACCCAAGAAGTTTTCTCCTGTTGCTGGCATAAGGTTTCTTCTAAACGTACACTGAAGATCTGGAGCAGCCTAATATGATCAATTTGCCACATGACCATAGAATAACAGTTATTTTTCTATTAGTTTTCCAGACCCTCTCATAGCAGTCACAAGTAGCATATAGAACTAGATCCCTAGAGAGTTCTAAGAATGTCTCAAAAGATATACCCTGAACTAGTTTTACAAAAACGGATAGGGGAAAAGATAAACAAAATTAAGAAAACAGAAAAACAAACTTGGTATCATAGAGGAACAAAACCAGTACAAGTCCAATTTTCATTTTTCTTATAACTACCTGTGTAGTTTCCATTATAGAAAATTATAATTATAATTAGGTTTATAATTAGTTTCATCACAGAACAGACCTTAGTAGAATTCTGTCCTTAGTAGAATTTCTAGAACTATGAAGTTTTGAACAGATTGCAAACACTTGGAAATGAGCATTGACTACGCTTTCCATTTCTACTTAAAAATGTACACCCTTATGCTCTCATATGTATGCACCGTATCTAAAGACACATAAAGTCAAAAAACTTAAAAAAAAAAAAATTATCAAGGAACAAGTCTTAAGTGCTGCAGAACAAACATGGATACATATTCAGTTGGAGAAATGTTTGGTATTGCATCATAGGGCATTAGGGTCATACATTTATCATGTAGCAAAGTGGGATTTAAGCAGCTAACTGGAATCAACACTGACGAAACACAAATTATTGAATTCCCTAGAACACCTCCTGAAATTTTTGACCAAATTCTAGCATGTGTTATCTCAAACTTATCTGCAATGACAGTGCAACAGCAAAAATACATCATGTCATTCCACGTTAAAAGGTTACGTTACCCAAGAAATGTTGGGTAACTACAACATTGCTCCCAGCTCTGCATAATATTGTCCCACACTTAAAGTCACAGCAAATTTAATTTTAAAAAGGCAATACAACAGTACACAAATATTTTATTTAATTTTTCCTCTTTAAAGAGATGACAGCTTACGTCTACTTAAGGAGCCTGCAAGAACTGGAATGTAGTCATCATCTTTTCCTAGTTTAGATTTCAGAGCTTCACTCAGTTGGTCATAGCATGTAAAATAAATTACTGTGGTAGGAAGTGCCATTATTCTAAAATATAAGAGAGGGAATCTTAACACAAGGAAAACAGGAACATAATCTAAATTAACCGTCTTGTATGCATATTTTGCTTAAACAAGAAAAAGTTAAACCTTCAGGTGTGTATTGCTATGGATTAAGAAAAAGCATTAGTCCAGTGGCTTTGATTCACTGACTCTAGTTTACAGTTTCAAATTCACAAGTCTCCCACTTTTTTGCTTTTTCATTTCATTATGAGAAACCTTATGTAAAATGATGGTGGACTGATCTAAGCCAAAATATATTTCATGTCAGCTTCAGAATTTTCAATAAAGCAATGGAATTGAAAGATCTGAATATGAACCAGGCAAACACAAAACTTTATGGAAGCACCTACTAAACTTAAGCTTTTATCCATTTAACAACCAGTGAATGTTTTCTCTTATTCAACATGATTCTCGCTATTTGAAAGACAACGTAGGGTGAGTGAATATAAGCTTTTTCCATTCTTCAGCATAGTATGGGCCATAATAAACAACAGCTAGATCTTGTAATCATTCGGTGTTGGGGTAATGCAGCATACCTTACTATAAAATGGCAATTATATTTCTGTTTCGTGTAGGCCGTCTGTGCCAGTGTTACATGCAATATCATTATCAACAACCACTGAAGAATCTAATGCATGGAAAACCAACAAGCCATAGTTTAGATCTTTCAAAAACTGTGCCTCTAGAGTCAAGAAGCTGGTTCTTCCGTGAAGGAGTACAGAACACACATTGAAGAAAATAACTCCTTGTTTTGGCTGAAATACAGACCTCTTACTTTATCTAGATCCTAAAGCTTTATTTTTTGAAATAGCCACATGCTGCAGGACAGCAAGCTCGAGCTCTACCATGTCTTGCTTCTCTGTGTCAATATATTTAGCACTCTGCGAAAATCAAAAGGGTAACAGTGCTTGTACGGTGCTCTGTGACTTGGAACAGGAGGACTGTAACACGACATTTAGTGACTTACAAGATTTGGATGCTGCTTTAATAATCTGCGTGTTAGATTTGACCACTTTCTTGCATTGTTCCACAGAGGAAAACTTAATTATAGAGGTTTTAATTACTATCTTTACCAGGCTGTTATGAATATCAAGATAAAATACATGGGGTTAGCCTGAAGAGGAGAAGACTAAGAAGAGATATGATAACAGTGATTAATTATGTAGAAGGCTCTTGTAAAGACAAAAGGAATGATCCATTTTCCATGAGCAAGTTGGATAGGAGAAAAATAATAAGATTCCTTGGAATAAAGAAGATTCTAGTTAGATATTAATTTTTTAAGTAAGGATAACGCAGTTCAAGATAGGAGCATTTGTGAAGATAGCTGCGTCGCTCATTGCAGATCATTAAGAACAAGCCAGGATAGCAAGTGTCTACGTCTAACAATCATGTCAGACCTTATGATTTGAGGATACTATCAAGGGGATGATTCTATCTTTGAAGGATAGAATGAGGAGTCTGATGTCCCTGCTCAACAACTGAGGATACATCAAAGAGGTCGTAAGGAGAAATCTGAAAATCTGGCTGAAATTATATTGTCTTTAGAGTTTTCTAATCAAACTGATCATATTATTTGTAACTCGAGAACCGTAAGAAAACTACTGTTATTCCATTGGCATAACCTTGATTAAACTTGGCATCAGTGCTTGGAGTAGTGAAGCCTGCAGGCCTAAGCTTGAACCTTAGCCAAACCTGTGGGATACTGCTGTTAGAACAACCGCAGAACCAGCTAGAATCAGCCCTCAAAGATATAGAACACAATGGGCAGAGGTAACAGTTAACCTTTGGATAAGATACAGAACACAATGGACAGAGGTGTAGGTTAACCTCCGGATAAGATAAGGCATTGTGAAGCAGGAACATAGCAACCGTCCTGGGATGTAGACACGAACCAAACAAAAGGATAGAGACCACCGACTCAGTAAAGAAGCCTGGAAGAGACAGTCACTGGCAGACTGGGGAAATAAGACTGTAAGGAGTATAATTATCCTAGAATTTATTTGTTCTGGGTCCCTCTTTGGAGGCACCCTGCTCGAGCTGAAATAAACAATCGTATAAGAGTCTGACTCTGACGTAGTGGTGAATGCCTGGGGACCTTTATAACAAGAACTTACCAAAATTTTAAAATCACTTCAAAATAAGCACGCTCATTTGTCTAAGTAATGAAGTATCCCTCATAACCATATTCCGTAAGTTGTTAAAAAAAAAAAAAAAAAAAAAACCTTACAGTGTCGGGCCAAGTCCACTCCACAGTGATTTAATTCCTTCTGTTTGAATGATTTTCACAAATGCATCCTGAAATTGTAAGCAAGCAAAGAGCAGTAATTAGCTACAAAATTTTTCTAGTCAGTAATAATATTTTAGCACACAGAACATAATTAATGTATTAAAAAGTATGTTTTTAAAATATTTTATCACTCTGAGATCTCAATGTTGTAATTGTTTATGCTAGCCATCACATTTAATCATACAAACCGCTCCACTGAGCTGAACAGAAATATTTATATGCTTCAAATTAAGAATTTTCTTCCTTCTTTAAAAGACCAAGGCATTAAGTTTTTATCAGCAACTGGCAGCACTGCAAGCAAGCTATTTTCAGAACTAATACAGAACAGATGCAACTTGTGGAAGCTTCCCCAAACCAATCCACTAAATATATTTTGATAACTACTAAAAGTTCTAGGCATGAAATAGCAATTCACTCTCCATAATTCGTCAAAACTTGCTTTCTGTGACAACTTGAGGACAACATAACAACATATGTGCAATGTATGTGGTTTGGCTGGTTTTATTTGGTGCTTATATATATTTGGTGTCTTATAATATTATCATATCTGTCCCATATATTTCTCAGACCACTGACAGCAGAGAAGTACTGGACCTTGAAGGGCATTCAGCTATCATCTTCAAAAGGACAAACCAGCTAATAGTAGGATACCTAACTTAAAACTTTTGGGGGGAAGAAGCTGAGATTTGATGGATTGGAATATGCTTAAGATCAGACACTATTACAGGTTCTCAAAAGACACAAAAGCACGACAGACCACAGAAAGGGCTATACACTCACAGGAAGAACAAGGAAGAGAGCTCTAGAGGAGACACTCTTGAGGGACAGATCAGTTGAGATCAAAGAAAGTTGGGCAGAGAAAAGGAAGATAAGTTATTAAGACAAGGTTTACTTGAAAAAATGGAGCTTTGAGAGGGAGTCAAGAAGCCCCAGAAAGCCCTAACACAATTTCAGAAAACAGAGACATGAAAAAAAAGTAAGATAGAAAGTGGCATAATAATGTTTTATGTTTTCTCTGCATGTCATTTTTTGCACAGTATTTACAAGACAAAGTGATAAATTTTAGTACAATTTGTAATATCTACATCTGTTTGCTTCCATTACCATATGTCCTTGGACAAGTAATCCAGGCTGTCCATGAAAACTGGACCTGAGAATGAACTTGAATAAGTGCAGCATCGAAGCCGGGGCAGCATCCAGAAGAAATATCATCCACATGGCAGCCTCTGGCAGCAAACGTGTCTATTAACTGCTGATTTATTATGCCTTGATTTTGGTGATGTGGAGTATTATTGTCAAAAATCATGCTATCTAGGATCTATTTTCATTAGTCATTAAGTGGAGAATTCCGTCGGTGGATATCTATTTACGGTACTGCTGAGTGCAGACCAGTTACTTGATTTATTATACAACCGAATATAACGGACCACTTTTTCAAGTAACAAACTGACGCAGTTACTGCAACTGACAATCCAATCAAAACGTTCATTCTTGTAAATAACACATCTTTTGGATTTTCTTATTAGAACGTTATTACAAATCTATATAGTATTCAACATGGGCCACATGTTTACATTCCAGCTTCAACAAACTTGCAATTCTGGAAGGTACGGAAAAAATATCAGAGAAGGGATGCAACTAAATTCAGTGACTGAGCAAAACATTTATATGTCTTGCCAATTATCCAGTAAAACATTTTAAGGTGTTATCACTGGCAAACTACCATGTCCATTACAATTTTCTTTACTCCACAATTGTCCACCACTGCTTTTTAAAAATGAAAGGAAATACAGTATCTCATAGTCGGTCTTTTTCACGGGCATGAAATAACATCACTTAAAAAACTAGCTGACTTTCTAAAAATTACATGGAAAGTTAGTAGAAAAATTCAGACAAATACTTATGAAGTTATTAATTTCAAAAAATTCTGAACTCTTTGTAAAACAACTGCTCGAAAACCTTTTCCATGGACATTTCATTCTTCTCCTCAAAAATCTGATCCTGACAAGTCCGCGATCACACATGTAATTTAATGGCAGAGTCAAACAAAATCTTATTAATGAAGCAGCATCACCACCTCCAACAGAAGGTTTGGGTTTGAAGCTGCTTCAAATGTATGGGTAAAATCCTAGGCTTACAGATTTGAATGGACAAACTTTACATATGAATTTAATTTTAAAACCCTATATGCACTGTTAGTTCAGTTCAGGGGCATTCTGAGAGATCTGCAGGCAGAAGAGAGGTAAGCTTGTACACAGAATTAGTGGCAATATAGTTCAAGTGAGGAAAATGGAATCAGTGAGCCATGCCTTGTGAGGAAAGCAGTGCAGCTGCTCTCTTCTTTGTCCCAAGAAAGGAATTTGTATTTTCACACATAGAAAGTATCATTAATCGCTATCTAAATTATACTACGTAACAACATGAATACTCTCTCATATGATAACAGATTCTACCAGAACTTTAAAAAAATACAATAAACGTATAGTATGCCATTTTATCATGTTTTCAATGCACGGTTTTAAATAAATATAAAATGTTCTTACCAATGTCCCTTTGAAATGCCCAGGTTTTTTATACCAGGCTTTGCTGCCCCCATTCTCACAAACACATATATGATCCATGAGGCCATTGGAGTATACAAAACACTTTCCTAATCAAACGGAATATAAGAATATAGTTAATGCATGTAAGATTGTTCTTATTCAGCAGCATTTCCATACCGCACATAATGAAAACATGCATTTATGGCTGGATAAACGGGGACAGAATAATCTTGGAAAGCCACTAACAACAAATTAGGTAAAAGTAAGGAGGAAACAAACATGCTCCTTAGAGTGCCACACGAAATGAAACTGCATTCACAGGCTCCAGGAGACATGCTTATGTTATACTACCATCTGCTGAAAGCTAAAAAAAACCAACACAGGACCCAGACAGATACCACTAGTTTATCTAACTTTGTGAACATCTTTCAAACTTTTAAATCTTTTACTAAGTACCCTCAGCATCCACATTACAGGTGGAGGTGGAGGTATTACATTTTAGGCTGGACTGTATTTCTACTAGATTATCCTTTCTACTTGTTTTTGATTTCTTCTATATTATATACTTTGAACGTGCTTGACAAAATATTACTCCCGTTACAAAAACATACTCTGAGCTTCACATTACATTTTCAGATTTCTGAAGGGTTTAGAATTTACTAAAGAACCAGGGTAGAAGGCATACTGTTCTTCCAGATTTATGGCAAGGGTGACTGCAAATATGCATCTCCATGTACAACACGGAATTTCTACACCCGTCACCTCCTTTCTTTGTAAATCTCATTTATTAATTACAATGGAATAGTAGGAATCATTGGTGTGTCTTAGAGTGCACAATCTGTTCATTTATTTAGAACCCAAGTGATAAGAGACTTAGGTAAGACTTACTACTCCTTTCCAAAGCTCTTTGGAGATAAAGCTCTGGAGGAGATAAACTGGAATAGTATCCTGATCACGAGTCCTCTGATTGATAGAATATGTAGCTATTTATCAGTACCTACTTTTTTTATTTACTCAACTGAGTATTAATTGTACATTCCGTCATAATGAAAATACCAGGAAGGACAGAAAAATGCCTTTTAAAATGGCATGCATTTATGAGATTTCTATCCTGTGTCTCTTCAGTGGTACCTTCTTCAGCAAATTCAACGCATTTTGCTGTTTTGCTTCTCCCATCCCTTCACTTACCATGCAGAAAAAATACATAACTGCAGGCAAACAAACGAAAACATCCTGAACATAGCTTAGCATGACAAGAACTATAGGGTAAATGGGTCCTCAGTTACACTAGACATTTATTTACCTTTGGAGAATGGATTGCTTTGGGCTTGTAGTCGAATTTTGACAACATCAAGAGGGGCTACTAAAACAAGACAAAGAAGTCATTTAGAAACACACTGCCTGCCCTTAAAACATAGAAGTGCCTTAACACGAACTGCTTTTTTTTCAGAGGGAAAACCAAAAACCTGTTTTGCAATATAATCAGCCAGAGAAAAAAAGAACGAAAGAGCATTTTTTTGCTGGACAAAATATCTTGTATGGTTTGCAAGTGACCAGATATGCCTATTAGACTGCGCTGCTGAGCTTGTTAGGTACACATACTATGTACGTGTAAGTGACATAACACAGAGGAAACAAGGCATACGAGATAAGCTTTTGGCCACAAGCATATAAAATATTAAAGCATTTTTAATATGTTTATTCTTGCACCATTAACTGATTTTAACAGCGATGTTCAAAAGAAAAAGGTTAAACTTGTGGTCCTGTTTCCTTCTTTACTGTGTGTAGAGAAGTTCTAAAACTTTAGAGCTGTTGAAAAGCAAGTGAAGGTTTAATTGCTCCCCCACCCCAGAATTGTGGATCTATCCATTCCTCAGCCATACAGTGGCTGTATATACCCTAGTGAAGTAAGATGTCGTATTAAGAGCTAGCCACTTCTGTGTTGAAACTTTTTAAAATTAATATTTTGTTCAATGTCATGAGTTCTCATTTAGATGAACTGTGAGGTTTAAGAGATTTCAAACTATTTAGTAAGAAAACAAAACTACAATAAATACTTTACAATGCCCAAAAAGTATATCTTCAGCAAAGATTCAAGTAACCCCTAATCCCAGAACAAGTGCTCCACAGACACATCTCTGGAGACTTATCAGGCAACATAGAGCGAGTACTATGCGTGTGTGTACTTAAGTGCACAGCACATATATGAAATTAATCCCACATATGGCAGAAGCTGCACTTGGAAAAAAAATACAAGTCTACTTCCTCTATTAATACCACAGTATGCCCATATGTGTCCACACAAGAGGATTCTATCAGTAACTGCAGCTCTAATATGCATACAATCCCTAAAATGAGACAGAAACCCAAAGTTTTATTTTCCCTTTCATTGCCAATATGCACTGAAAAGTTTTGCCAGTGAAAATGAAGGTCAGCCAGCCAGCCAGCCATCTGGTAAAGATGAGTTGAAAATTTATATCCTATTTTTCTGCAGACTACAGCAAGACACCTCATAAGTTTGGCCGCTAAACTTCTCATGGCTTCTTCAATAGCCAGACCTGATTGTTTTTTTTATTCCTGTTAGCGCCATGTCAGACAAAGTTACTGAAATCTTCTGGAGATGGACAGTAGATTTTCAAGAATATTTTCAGTCCTTCTATCTTCTCTAGGCAAAAACTTAAGTTACTTGAAGTAATGTAGCAGAGGGAAGCACACTGCATTTACCAGCAAGGCTTCCATTGCACCAGAAATACGTAAAAGTTTGTGTGTATCATCTCGTTAACTTTGAATTAGGAAGTTAACAGCTACACTGCCCACAATTGCCATCTCTTCTACTTTTCAATACTGCAATTAGCATGAGGCTTAATATGTTTTTTAACAGCAAAAAACTGTTAAAAAACAGTTGGTGGCTCTGCCACCACACAACCATTACGTAGCTGGATGCCACTAGGAGGCCCGTGACAACAGTCTGGAGAAGAGTGGCACAGGCTCTTTTATATACGCAGCCTCATCCTTAACAAACACAAATTAGTATTTTCAAATGAAAGCTCACAGTTTTGAACAGGGTGTATGACGACTTGAGATAATGCTGTGATTTGTCTTCTCGAAAGTGTAAATACAGGCTATCTATAATTAAAATCCAACTACACTTGTTCTTTACCAAAGATGCAAACATACTGCTGTTTCTACTCGTTTCATCATTTATTTTACTGAAAATCACTGTAATGGAATGATTTTTTCAGAATGCTTTTCAACTCAAGGGTTTCTTCTTCAAATAAATCAGATAAGAATGCGCTAAGCAACCAGTATTTGATAACTATGTTGTTCCCACTGTTCAGATGAGAAAGTCATATAGAAGTTACAGTTTGACAATGTAACGCTTGCTCTGCTATACATTCTGCGCCTTGAGTATGCATTTAAAAATATATATATTCTTTATGCAAATATATATTCTATTTTACAAATTCAGTCACTAAAGCAGCTGAATCCCATCCTAATTATTTTGATAGCAGGATTCAACTCCAGATTTTGACCCTTACATTTAGAGGTCTACAGGTCACCTATGTGTCTAAATTCCCTCCTGTAGCCAATATATTATCTAATAAATATAGTCAATGAGGCCAAAGAGTGACTCAGCACCCTAAAGGAGATGCACAGTCGCTGGTAAGCCAGACTACTCTCTAGCCTCTACTGACCTTACTGACTGAGGGCTGCATTCAATTGCCTAAATACAAACAGGTAGCGCCATCTGAGTCTCTAAGGTATCCAGAATATCTCCACAATCGGCAGATATGACACAGCACCTATGACCTTATTAAGCAGCAGCTAGAGGCCACGCCAAAAATTCTAGCATGTCTTATTGTACTACATCCCTGTGGGCTGGTAACTGAATCACACCTTAGATCTCTATTGACTAATAGGAGGTTAGACACTCAGCTCACATTTATATGTCTAAATGTAGAGATCCAAACATGCCTCTTGCACCTCAACTTACTTGCTTAAACTTAGGCATCTAGTAGAATTTTAGACACTTGTATGTTCTGCCTGGTCTCCCACCTCCCACGTCAAAAAGGAACTGGTCTTCTATACCGGTGACATACTTACCAGGCCCTGCTGAGGTCTCTGATACCTAGGGCACCTTAAACCGTACTAGAATCTTATGTACGAGTAGTTGAATTCCATCTTGGGAACTGCAAGTCTGATCTAACTCTGTTTGCTACTCACCTAACATAACAGGACACACAATATAATAACAAAATAAAAAGACTACAAATTTGGCAAGTTGTTGGTAAGGATAAAAATTAAAAATCTAAGTTTACCTTTTTGGTAAAAACTTGGAAATTTTGTGGGGAAAAATTGTGTCTCAAAAATAGCACATTTCCCTGCAGCGTAATCAGTGTTAAAAGTCAGAACCAAAAGCTGGCTTAATTCAAAAAGCAGTTGAAATATGAAGTGTAAGCTAACGAGCTTGAAAAACTCCAAAAGATGTGAAGTGCTGAACCTAACCAGTACCTCCTTAGGTATACATGGTGAAGGAGGTCTTGACCTAGATGAATGAAGAGGCGTTAGAAGCTGAATGCCATAGACTGTCCAGAAGTTAAAAAGACTAACAAAAAAACAACCCTTAAAAATGACATTTGAGAAAAAAATCATTAATAAAAAGGCGTGGGTAGGACATCACAGCAGAATAAATTGATGTTGCCACTGAAGTGGTAACATGAAGCGGACATCTCACAGAGGCAGTCTTGCAGGATTCATGTCCCGTAAAAGTAGACATTTATTTAAAAGCTATTTTTAAGCAGTAGGAAATATGGACACTCATTTTGTTTCTTACAGAGAGAAAACAATGAATTACTATACCAACAAAAAACATAGAGAAGAAAGGTTAATAAAAACTATTCTTATTTTTAGAAATGGTTAAAGATTGGGTTAAAGAGACTGGAAAGATTTCAATTAATCACTGCATTTATTAAAATATATGAAATTATGAGAAAACTATATACATATACACATATACATATTATATATATATATACACATATTACATGTATGTATGTATGTATTTGCAGATATCTTGCTGGTGCAAGCTGAAGAGTAATCAACTTTGCAAAGATTCTCTCTATGGTGAGCTTAATAGTTTGCCTTACCAAAAAATGATGTAATTATAGCTCCAAAGCAAGAAGCTACTGCTTGCTGAATACTAGTTGTTTTATCTAAGTCACTATCATCCTTTTCAGCCATAACTTTATCCTTAGAGAAGGAAAACCTGTTAAGGAACAGAAAAATATATTGCAGAACTATATTCAAAATTTACAGAAAATCAAAGGAAAAGTTATTTTTAATTTTCATTAATACATTATATGTAAGTAGCAATAAATACCAATTTTCTACTTGCATGCAAAAAATCTTTTTTTTAAATTACAATATTTGCTCCATCTTTTTTAACAATCTAAATTTTCAAAATAAAAATAAATCTCCCAAATAATTCTTATATGTATTACAATGTTTACATTTTTGTAAATGACATTAAATATTTAATATGCATCACCTCTTGCTGCAAAGCATTTAGGAGCATGCAAATTTGCAGTACAATGATAAATGTGCAGCCTGTGGCCCATAAACTGTCTGTAGCATAGCAGAATAATTTATCTAGCTGTCCTCTTGTCATTCCTGTGAGAAAATCAGGAGAGGACCCCTGACTGATCCAATTCACAGCCTAGTCGCAGTGACTGTATTCCCTGTTCAACTCCTCATACAGCAAGAAATAGCAACTAACTAGCATACTGCATTGCTATCATTGAATATTCATTCCTTGAACAAATCCTGCTGTACAGCTATGTAGGCAAGGTTACAGTACCTTGCAAACGTATTCATAGTATCTAAAAAATAAGGAGATAATGTATTCCCAGTATCCATAACCAGCTAGAAAATTGTTTCTTCTTTTTTTTCTTTCCAGGACATAAAATCCCTAAATAATGGCATAGCTTTAAAAATGTATGTGTAATAAGTGTCGTTATGACTTTATTATTGTTTGCAAAGGTCTCCTTTTTTAGTTCAATTTATAGGAACATTATATTTTGTTATTTTCACTTAGCTTAAAAGATAAAGAGACTAAACTGCATAAAACAGATTTGTCTAACAACCATTAATTTTCTTTGGGATTTTTTGGCTTTTTAATGTAATAGATTTTCTAATTTATTCTATAATACTTTCAAAAATAGCATATACAGTTCTTTTATAAGAAGCAACCAGGCTGTGATCTCCAGAAACAAAGTCTTCAGCAACAATAAAAATTTAGAGCATCCTTAACTGGCTCCTCCAACTGCTTATACCTGTAAGTATCAGCACACTGCCTTTTTAACAGTATCTGCCCAACAGTTTGTGAAACTATGCTGTAACTGTACCAGGAAACTGATCTGGCTTTAAATAAAACAGTCTTTCGAGGAGATGAGTGGGGTGGGAAGCACTGAATTTGATTAGTTCCCCCATCTGTTCACAACATGCCTGCATGAACAGAAGGCAGCTTTTCCATCTGACTGAGTAAGAGAATTGCTGCATTTGGCCTTAGTACCTTGGCATGGCATGTTTTGCTAACTGTCCCGGCAGCAATGAGAGAAAGTCTCATAAGCTGATGGTCAAGCTTTTGTACTGAATCAGACATAATACTTCTGCAGCAACATAGCCAAAGAAGTCACTTACAAAATGCTACATGAAGCCCAAAGCCTTAGAAGGAACATCTATACCAGCCGGAACCTGCTACAGCACCTTGCAGACACAGAATGAGTATGACTCCTTTCTGCTCTTTAACTTGTTCTCATCCTTCTTTACTGCACTGTTAAGGTTACTACTCTTT